TTGCTAGGGACTTGCCCGGCACTTGCTCTCTACCTCTATTTGTTATCTTACTTCTATCATTGACAGTCCCTCTAGGTTGTGGGCTGCTTGCCTGTGTTCCTGAGAAGCATCTACGGTACCAGTCTATAGAGTGTGTTTTCTTTAGTGAATTACCGGTATGTTTACCGGTAATAAACTTGCACTGTTTTATGTATATGTTTGATTACATACAGCCTTGTGACAGTTTTCCTGCATGTCATAAGCATTTGAATATAAATTAAAATGTTAAAATCAAATCTGATATTGTTTTACCTTTTATTTGGTGTGTGGAAGGTGTGCGGAAGAGGGGGTAGTCTTATACGGCGAGTATATAACAAACTCTGTATTTTGAGTGGAAATATTAGGGGGTCGTCTTATACGCCCAGTCGTCTTATACGCCGGCAAATACGGTAGTATAAAATTTGATACTAGGTATGGTTATTATCTGGACATTACTAACCCTGTATCGATGGTCTCTGTGAATACTTCCCAAAAAGCACTCCATGCATAAAACACAAGTTGGATCAACTGCACAGTCTCTGTAAAGTTAAAGAAAAAATAAAAATGAGTGTCATAAAATTACTGCATATTTCACAACATAATACTTCATACTGGATTCCATTCTAGAAGAGCAATAATAGTGAACTGTCTTAATGTTAAAAGAAAAGAAATATTATTCCCCAAAATCTCTCAGATCTTTGATCAATGATGTCAGCTTAAGAACCTGTTTCTCATACTGGATATGTACTAGTGAGTTTCTGAAGGCACGTATTACTAGAATGGTAATTTCCCCCAAAGATTCAGGGAAATCACATTTTATATTAAAATGTGATTCCATAACATCCACACAGATGTTATGGAATCGATTTTAAACTTTATCTTGCAATTTCAAGTAATTTCCTTCAAACAGGTGTTTCAAATCAATGGTCTTCAAAGTCGTATGTGTACACCCCCAGAAAGACAAGAAAATATTAGAACTTGTATTTCTATTTAAATTTTAACTAATTTAAAAGGGAAATTAAACATTCTAAATGAGTAAGTACAGACTGACATGGGTCTCCTCACTTGGTCATTATGTCTGACGGTCACACAACACATATGGTTTCTAAGATACCCTGACGGGAAAATAAGAATTCCACAAGGCTGTCTTACCCGGTTTGGCTCAGTGGACAGAGCATCGGCCTGCAGACTGAAGGGTCCCAGGTTTGATTCATCAAGGGCATGTACCTTGGTTACAGGCTCCACCCCAGCCTGGGCCCTGGTCAGGCCTCAAGCAGGAGGCAACCAATCAATGTGTTTCTCTCACATTGATGTTTCTCTCGGTCTTTCCCTCTCTCTAAAAATCAATGGGGGGAAAAAAATCCTTAGGTGAGGAGAATTCCACAAGGTGGATGGGTTGTGGCAGTGGTGTCCTCAGTCATTTCATTTGCTTTCATCATACTGCCAGTTCGATATATCTACAGATCATATCTTCTCTCTATATAAAAGCCTAATATGCAAACTGTCCCCTCAGGAGTTCGACAGCTTGTTATGTGAGCTGACCACCAGGGGGCGGCATGGAACAAAGGAAGGCCCTGGCCAGCAGTTGGCAGCTGGGGAAGGGAGCCCCAGCTGGCAGCCAGAAGGAGGGCCCTGATAGGCCCTGATCGCTGGCCAGGTCTAGTGACCCGAATTTTGTGCACCAGGCCTCTAATCTTAAATAAGAGAATCTCTCTAATGCCATGAAATGAGATGGGGAATGATGAAAAATCTTTAAGTTTCCCTTATCCTTGGTTCTTATATCCTCATAAGCAAACCACTCTAATGTGCTTATTGTACTCCTTTTTCTTTGTAGCATACTAGATGCTCAGTGCATGAAATTCCTGCACAGTGTGTGGGGGGCATCCCTCAGCCCAGCCTGCGCCCTCTCGCAGTCTGGGACCCCGTAGGGCAGTGATGGCGAACCTATGACATGAGT